ATGGTGACATCGTTCTCACGGCAAAACGAAAGAAAAACATGTATGTAGTCACTTGGGAACTTTCTAAAACTAATGTTTGTCTTGTTGCTACTAGTAATACAGATTTGAGCCTGGAATGGCACAACAAGATGAGCCATCTAAATCTCAAGACCATCAACAAGCTATCAAAGAAAGATCTTGTAAAAGGTTTACCGAAAGTAAACTATGTTAAAGACAAAATTTGTGATGCATGTCAAAAAGGAAAGCAGATTAAAACATCTTTCAAATCAAAATCGTCATATACAAATTCTCGTCCCTTAAGCCTTCTACACATGGATCTATTTGGTCCAGTTGATCCTGCAAGCCTGAGCAGACGAAAGTATTCTCTCGTCGTTGTAGACGACTACACGAGATATACCTGGACACAGTTTTTAAGAAAGAAGAATGAGTCTGACACAGTATTGCCCGATTTACTAAGGCAACTACAAACTGAAAAGGGTCTAAGTATAGTGAGAATCAGGTCAGATCAAGGGACAGAGTTCGTAAACAAAGTCATCAAGGAATTCTGTGGACAAAATAGAATCTTCCATCAACTTTCGGCTGCACGAACTCCACAGCAAAACGGGGTAGCCGAAAGAAGAAACAAAACCTTGAAGGAGGCTGCACGTACAATGATGGCACATTCAGGACTCCCCAAACGTTTCTAGGCCGATAGATTTTGATGAAACATTCGCTCTAGTTGCCAGAATTGAAACCATCCGAATATTCCTAGCTTATGCTGCTCATAAGAACTTCAAAGCATTTCAAATGGACGTAAAGAGTGCGTTTCTAAACAGCCTTCTTGAGGAAGAAGTCTATGTGGAACAACCCCCAGGGTTCATATCTAACATAGAAAGTGATAATGTATATCACTTAAAGAAAGCACTATATGGTCTAAAAAAAAACACCACGAGCATGGTATGATACTCTATCGTACTTCCTTATCAACTGTGGATTCACGAAAGGGGTGGTTGATAAAACCCTCTTTCGCATCAAGGATGGTGATCATATTCTACTTGTACAAATATACGTTGATGATATCATTTTCGAATGTACAAATCCAGATTTGTGTGATAAGTTCTCAAAACTCATTCAAGGAAAATTTGAAATGAGCATGATGGGAGAACTAAACTACTTTCTTGGGTTACAAGTTAAATAATGCCCTGATGGAATCTTCATCAATCAGGCAAAGTACACGAAAGATCTAATCCGAAAGTTTGGAATTGATGGAAAGACATCTGTCAAAATTCCAATGAACACTTCTTTACGCATGGAAATTAATAATGAAGGAAAAGATGTGGATCAAACGAAATATAGAGGGATTATTGGATCTCTCTTATACCTCACAACGAGTAGACCTGACATTTCTTTCGCTGTTGGGGTATGTGCACGATTTCAAGCTAAACCGAAAGAAAGTCATCTAAGCGCAGCTAAAAAGATCTTAAGATACCTCAAGGGAACCCAAAGTGTTGGTCTTTGGTACCCGAAAGGAGGATCTTTCGACCTAATTGGTTATTCAGACTCAGATTTCGCTGGATGTAGAATTGACAGAAAAAGTACCTCTGGAACCTGCCAATTCCTAGGGGGAAGACTCGTGTCATGGTTTAGCAAGAAACAAAACTCTATAGCTACTAGTACCGCTGAAGCTGAGTACATAGCAGCTGGAAGTTGTTGTGCACAAATCCTATGGATGATGCAGCAACTTAAAGATTATGGAATAGTGGCACGAGAAGTTCGAATCAACTATGACAATACAAGTGCCATTTCCATAGCTCATAAACCAGTGCTACACTCTCGAACCAAGCATATTGATATTAAATATCATTTCATTCGAGATCATGTTGAAAAGAGGATATTCTGCTCGAATATATTAACACTGATGATCAATTGGCAGATATCCTCACAAAACCCTTAAATGAGAATAGATTCTCATCCCTACGACATGAACTTGGGATGATCGAAATGACTTGACCGAGAGGTTTAAATTAGATTGCTCTGAAGCATGCGCGAAAGATTCCTGAAAAGATTGTAAAAGAAAATCTTGAAGAAATGAAATGAAGATATCTTGGGCATATCTTCACACAAGATAACACCTTTTCCCACTATAAAAGGACACCTTTCGTCACATATAAAGCTCACACTAACCTCTCATAGAATTCTAGTGTGCTTTAGTATTTTTGATCGCAGATATGAGTCAAGGGAAAGGAAAGGAGAAAATGAGTGAAGAATCAGAAAGGCGTGCTGCTCGAAGAGAGCAATATCTGAAGGAAGCCCGAAAGATTGCCGATGCAAAGGTCGTTATGATCAGGGAGCATCACCCAAATGAAGTGTAAATCACGTTCACTTCATCCGAGATCGATGAATAGAAGAAAGCCATGGACAAAATCCTAGAAGAATCACGAGTCAATCAGGAATACTATCTGAAGCATGCTCGAAAGTTTGCAAATGAGAGAACCATGCTAATAAAAAATGCTGGTAGCAAATATGATGGTGGGACACCGGCTACGTTTTGTTGGTATCCTATTTAAGAAAGATCACAAAGTCTGATGGACTTCTCACATATCCAAGTTCGTTCACTAACTGAAATAGAGTCTCATGTATCATCCCTCACTCTCAGTGAGTTAGACGAATACAAAGACGTGAAGTGCGTGCTCGAAAGGAGTGATAGTTTCGATCATTCACCATCAAGTACTCCACCTAATCTATCTGCTCCACTGAAATCGACTACCAGCAGCAAGAAAAAGATAGATTAATTTCTTGAAGCTCTCTCTAGCATGTTATCTTTTTCTTTGATAAGAATCAGATAAATCATTGTCGCTTCTGGGTATCTTATCTAAGTCATGTGATCTCACATTATTTTCACTCATATCATGATATCGCTCCTGACCACTGAAGGTTATCACATGTCTATGGTCAAACACTTTATTATGACGCATCGATTTGAGGGTCAGATTGATGAGAGAAAACGCTTAAAATTTCAAAATGGGAATTAATGACTATTGTGGAATTTTATGGTCATAGTAGTCATCATCACTGACCCGTGACTGCCTCGCTCGATCTATTTAAGAACGGATGGTTCCTCAAGCATTTCATATCTTCTAAAAATGGATAATTAGAAAAACAAAAAATCATGTGATCCGAGCGTTGCAAAAACCTCATCCAAGAAAAGCAAAAGCCCAAAACCTGAAAAGATGAGCAAAATTCTTGCTCGGCACACAGAGCAAGAGCTACGTGAGCTCAAAGAAGACATTGAAGATCCCGGCTTCAACGAGAATCTCCTGAAGTACATTGACAGCATTCCTATGACTCACTGGTCTCCCCCCGTCTGTGATACGGAGCCCGTGGTGTCTCTTAACACCTATAAGAATGAGGTGAGGGCATGCCTGGCTGGAGAATTTGAGGAGGAAGACTCCGTGGATGGACCGAGCCTCAAGGAAGAAGAGAAGAATTAATCTTCTTTCTAACTCTATTAGGACACATGTCTTATAATCATGTTTTACAAATGTAATAAGTGTCCATCTTCAATGAATTAATATGAAAGTTTTCATTGTTGCGAAACTTTATTTGCTTCGTAACAATATATCGTCCATGATCACTAAAGTTCTATATTAAGTACACGACGAGTTAATAAGAGACAGGGTTACCAGGACCAACAAGTGACATAGTTACCTAAGAAGACTTGCCACATAGGAAAACAGTCAATATCGGAATTTGCGTTAGTAGTTAAAGCTGAAATCAATGCACATTTGAAAAACGCAAACACATTGAATGGTCATTCAATTCTTCCAAAATTCAAGACCCGTGATTCTCAAATCTTGTCTATATAAGGACATGATCAATAAGCACGAAACTCATCTCACTCTTCAAAAATTCTTCAAAGTTGTCATGGCTCCTCGCAAACCGGTCACCAGAGAAGCCACCAAAAGATAGAAAGCGATTGCTCAGAAAATCAGAGAAGAACAAGGGGATCTTTATCCCGGAAACAACCTAAGAGCCCCACTAGAGGTCTCTTCCGACAGTGAACAACATGAACATCACGAAGGATTTCTAGCCGATGATCTTGAAGACGTCCCTGTTGCAGATCAACGAGTTGCACTGCCCCCCATGCACGAACGTAGAACTTTTTTTGACTGTAAAAGATTGGAAGAAACCGCATGCAGATCGAGATTATCTCACCTTCTTGAGCACATACAAAGGAGAACCTGAACTAAGCAATGAGACTGAAGAGGAACCAGATTCTTCCTCTGGCTCGAATGTGACCAGGACCTCAAAGTGGTTTCGCCAAGAGTTGGGAAAGATGATGAAGGCCAGAGAATAGGCAAGCAAAAGCACGAAAGGAAAAGCAAAGAAGTAGTTTTCCTTTTGTTGACATGTTAAGGATTTTTGATGTATAACAAAATCCTGTTCTATGTTCTCTCTGGTTATCATTAATAAAATCTGTTAGATGAATAAGGGTTAGTTAGAGTTAGGTGCTTGTTCTCTCATTTGAATTTCAAATTCTTTGGCTGGTACTCTTCCAACCTTTGTATAAATAGGGTTCCTCTTGTACAGAAATATATCAGAGAGAATACACAGAGAATACACACTGTTCTTGTATTTCAACGTTTAACATGGCATCAGAGCGGAGTTAGTGAGAGTGAGTGCCTGAGCTAGGTAGAGGGAGGACGGGCGACGCCACGTCAAGAAATCCGGCCGCCGTCGGTGCAGCCACGCGCCCTCACGCGCCGCCGTCGCCGAGCAGCTCCGACGCCACGCGCCGGCGCGTGAGGCGGTTTCCGGCGACTTCGCCGGTCGATTTTTGCTTCTCCAGTCTCGCCTCGTCGTGCTGAGTTCTAGGAGGTGGGAGGTGTTGAAGTCTGGTTGTGTCTTCCAGTGAAAGAGGTTCAGGCAGCGTGAGGTTGGTACTGTTAAGCTACTGTTAAGCCCTTTTGTTTTTGTTGGTGTGCTGTTTAGGTTTTTGTTGTGTTGGGTAAAGGGTTAAAATGGCACAAGAGATGAATATCACTGTTATCTCCACGCCATCTAAATTAATTGATATAGTTTTGGCTCCTGATGGGTCTAATTTTCCTGAATGGAAGTTTTTGATTAAAGTAAATTTAGATGGTATGGGGAAGGGTGATCATTTGGAAAAAGAGTGTCCTACAGATGCTACAGCTGGGGACTGGAAAACTACTGATAAAGCATTAATGTCACGTGTAATTAATTGCATTGATAGGAGAATTATTTTATCTATGCAACACTGCCAAACGGTTAAAGAAGTATGGGATTTAGTGAACAAATGGTTTAGTGGAACTAGTAACTTGAGAAAGTTATACCAATTATCTCAGGAAGCGTATCGGTCTAGTCAAAAGGGACGTGAGCTTAGAGATTACTATTATGACTTTAAGAGTGTTTGTGTTGCTTTGTGTGCTGCTATGCCGATAACAAATGATGTGGGTGAAATGACAAAACAACGTGACAGATTACTTGTTTTTAGTTGGATTGCTGGTCTGGATAAAGAATATGATGTTATTAGATCTCAACTGCTAGGAAATAAGGATTTAGAGTCTTTGGATCAAGTATTTTCTATGCTACAGAATGCATCAGGAAATAATGATTCGAACGAGCTCCAGGAAAGAAATGTCCTTATGTCACAGGGTAGTATGGATTCAAGTGCCCTGGTAACCCAAGGGGGAAGTACCAGTGATAATTATGGCTATGGCTCTCGAGGAGGGGGGTAATAACCGTTCCAGAGGGCGCGGGGGTTCTTGGAGAGGTCGTGGAGGACGTGGAGGCCCACGAGTTAGTTTTAATTATGGGGATCCCGGGCACTTTCGAAATCAGTGTCCTAAGCCGCCGAGACAACAAATGGCTGCTAATACGGCTTCCACGTCAGAAGGTCATACAGTAGTGATGACAGATGAGGAGTTTACTAGATTCAATCAGAAGAAGCTTTCTTCTTCCTCGCAGTTTCCATCCAGTCAAGTGCCTACCTCCGCAACGTTTGTCCAAACAGGTAATTCAGTTGCATGTGTTTCTTCTGCGCCTCGACAGTGGGTCATTGACTCAGGGGCTTCTGAGCATATGACAGGTAATTACAATGTTTTTTCTACATATTTGCCTGTCACTTCTAGTCATACCGTTACTCTAGCAGATAGGTCTATAGCCACTGTTTCGGGTAAAGGTAGTGCCATTGCAACATCCTCGTTACCCCTTGCTTCTGTGTTATACCTCCCAAAATTTCCCTTCAACTTACTCTCGATTAGTCAAATAACTCGTAACCTGAAATGTTCTGTTACGTTTTTTCCTGGTTATTGTCTGCTCCAGGATCTTTTGACGAGGAGGATTATTGGTAAGGGGAAGGAGGTTGACGGTCTGTATGTCTTAGATCAGTCTACATCACTCGAGAACGTCTCTACTGGTTTGGTGAGCAATGTTTCCCCCTTTCAATTGCACTGTCGGTTTGGCCACCCGTCTTTACCAGCGCTCAAGAAGATGTGTCCTGGTTTAGAGGCTTTGACTATCTTGCAGTGCGAGTCGTGTGAGTTTGCAAAACACCATCGTGTTCCTTATGTTTCTCGGGTAAATAATAGAGTAGATTCTTTATTCGAGTTAGTTCATTCTGATGTTTGGGGTCCGTGTCGGGTTACGTCCAAACATGGTTTTCGGTATTTTGTAACCTTTGTTGATGACTTCTCTAGGTGTACTTGGTTGTATCTCATGAAGTCTAGGGGTGAATTGTTTGATGTTTTCCAAAGCTTCTGCGCTGAAGTGAAAACTCAGTTTAATAAGACTATACAATGTTTGAGAAGTGATAATGCTCGAGAGTATTTTCTTAAATCCTTTTCTACCTTTATGAGTCAGAATGGTATCATACATCAAACTTCCTGTGTTTACACCCCCCAACAGAATGGTGTCGCGGAAAGAAAAAACCGCCATTTGTTAGAAGTTGCTCGTGCCCTTTTATTCCAAATGAAAGTGCCTAAAGTGTTTTGGGCAGATGCTGTTCACACTGCTTGTTTTGTTATCAACAGGATGCCTTCCTCTGTACTCCGTGGTCAAAACCCATATTCAGTTGTGTTTCCCTCCAAACCTCCGTTTGCCCTGTCCCCCAAGATTTTTGGTTGTACGTGCTTTGTACAGGATGTCCGTCCACTAAAGGGAAAGCTTGATCCTAAATCTCTTAAGTGTATCTTCCTGGGGTATTCTCGAACTCAAAAAGGGTATAGGTGTTACTCCCCTGATTTGGGGAGATATCTAGTTTCGGCTGACGTCACGTTCTTTAAGGAAACTGTGTTCTCTGATAGCGTTCCAGGGGATAAGTCGTCGGGGATAGAAGGGGATTTTCTCACTTATACTATCACTATTCCTGTACCCGCAGTGGATCCTGATTCTGGTGCCATACCTCCCGTTACGCAAGTGTATTCTAGGCGGCCCCGAGATGTAGTGGCACCAACAGTGAATGCTCCTCCCCTACCACAACCTCCGTCAACTGATCTTCCAGTTGCTGTTCGAAAAGGTAAACGTAGTTGCTGTCATCCGCTTTCTTCCTATGTTTTTTATGGTCGTCTGTCAGAGTCTTCTCGTACGTTTATATCCAAACTAGATTCTGTGTCTGTCCCTAAAACGTTGTGTCAGGCTATGTCTCATGATGGGTGGAGATCTGCTATGGAGGAAGAAATGGCAGCCCTAGAAGAGAATCAGACTTGGGATCTTGTCCATCTCCCCGTCGGGAAGTCGGCAATTGGGTGTAAGTGGGTTTACGTTGTCAAGACGAACCCTGATGGGTCGGTTGCTCGGCTTAAAGCGCGGTTGGTGGCTAAAGGGTATGCACAGACTTATGGAGTTGATTATACGGAGACTTTTTCACCGGTTGCCAAGTTAACTTCTGTGCGGGTTTTCATTTCTCTAGCTGTGGTTAATGATTGGCCGTTACACCAGTTAGATGTCAAAAATGCTTTTCTACATGGTGATTTGGCAGAGGAAGTGTATATGGAGCAACCGCCTGGGTTTGTTGCTCAGGGGGAGAACGAGAAGGTTTGCAAGTTGAAGAAATCTTTGTACGGGTTAAGACAGTCCCCCAGAGCGTGGTTTGGGAGGTTCAGTAGTGTTGTTACTGAGTTTGGCATGCAGCGTAGTGCCTATGATCACACTGTTTTTTATAAACATTCTAACCGTGGCAGCATTTTGTTAATTGTCTATGTGGATGATATAGTGATCACAGGTGGTGATGCAGCGGGAATTGATGCCCTCAAGTCTTTTCTTAAGAAGAAGTTCCATACGAAAGACCTGGGAGTGTTAAAGTACTTCCTTGGAATAGAGGTTGTTCGTTCTAAGAGAGGCATATTTCTTTCACAACGGAAATATGTGCTAGATTTACTTGAAGACTCTGGGCTCTTAGGCTCGAAGCCGTGCGAGACTCCTATGGACCAGAATGTTAAGCTTATAGCCGGTGAGGGGGAACCTCTTGAAGATCCAGAGCGGTATAGGAGACTGGTGGGAAAATTAAATTACCTTACCATCACACGCCCAGATATTGCCTTTCCGGTGAGTGTGGTGAGTCAGTTCATGGCAAATCCGGAGAAAGTCCATTGGGAAGCTGCAGTTCGAGTTGTGAAGTATTTGAAGGGTGCTCCTGGGAAAGGAATTTTGTATGCCAATCATGGGCATGTGAGGGTTGAGGCCTTCTCTGACGCTGATTGGGCTGGGTCACCGAGTGACAGGAGGTCAACGACGGGGTATTGTGTGTTCCTTGGTGGCAACCTAGTGTCGTGGAAAAGTAAGAAGCAAAGTGTTGTTGCCCGCTCTAGTGCAGAATCTGAGTATAGAGCAATGGCTCATGTGGCGTGTGAGGTGACGTGGTTGTGTAATATCCTTGGGGAGATTGGTGTAGAAGTGAGTAAACCAGTTCCTTTATGGTGTGACAACAAAGCCGCTATACACATTTCGAGCAATCCTGTGTTTCATGAGCGCACTAAACATATTGAGGTAGATTGTCACTCTGTGCGTCCATGTCCGAACTGGTGATCAGCTGGCGGATGTGCTTACAAAAGGCCTTAGTAGAGCCAGGGTTGAGTATATTTGTAACAAGCTGGGCATGATTAACATCTATGCTCCAGCTTGAGGGGGAGTGTTAGATGAATAAGGGTTAGTTAGAGTTAGGTGCTTGTTCTCTCATTTGAATTTCAAATTCTTTGGCTGGTACTCTTCTAACCTTTGTATAAATAGGGTTCCTCTTGTACAGAAATATATCAGAGAGAATACACAGAGAATACACATTGTTCTTGTATTTCAACGTTTAACAAAATCTTTACACTTCGTGTTAATCTCTTTTGAACGAAACTTTATTTGTTTCGTATCTCCTTAAGCACGAATCATCTCTGAATAGACATCACAAGTCAGGAATATTTCCGAGAGTTGGTATGTGAGTCTCGGAAACAACAACTATTCTCTCGACAGTCGAGGACGCTTTGAATGCTATTGAGACTCGAAACTTTAGTAAACTGTCACTTTGATAAGTCTCGTCATAAGGACATCAAAGCCCGTGATCCTCATCCATCTATATAAAGGAATTGCCTCAATAAGAACTCAAACACATCAAACTCTTCAAATGGACAAAGACAAGAAGATTGCATACTCACTGGTGCCTGACGATGAAGCAAAGCAAGACCGAAAGAAGAGAGGAAGAATCAGAGGTGTCCATGGAGAATGCTCAGCAAATCGATCAAGCTCCACTGTTGCTGATAAGGTCTTTCTAACATCAACTCCGAATGAAGCCCCATCTTCACAAGATGAATTTGGAGAAAGTCGCTTGGAGACTTTCATCAACAACCCTCTGTATGACAGGGAGTATGTGGTGTGGCTTCGAGATCTTTCCTGAAATGATCTCGATAGCAAAGAAGACGAGGACACAGAAACTGAATTTGATTATGTTCTAATAGATCTTCTCGCCTTCGAGCTCTTTCGCAAAGACTACATTGAGAAGCGAACTCTTGAGCTGCAGAAGGAAAAAGCCAAGAAGTAAAGACGAAGGGAAGTTTCGGAATAGTTTATTCATCTTTGAAATGTTCTGAAGATGTATTCAGATGATAAGTGTGTTCTAAGTGTCAATGTTTCGTCTGATCAATATTAAATCATCTTTATGTTTCGAGTTTTTTTTTTTAATAAAACTTAACATCTTCAAAACATCCTCACCCGAAAGAACAATATTCAACTTCCCGAAACTTTATTTGTTTTGTGGAGTTTTGTGAATTGATGCTTATCTCTCTATCAAGTCATCACTGCAAGAAGATCAAACGGCTCTTTGAAGAAGTCTTTAACCTAACCGTTCGATGATGTTAATGGAGAACATCGTGTGGGCGAGAAAATCGGCCCACTACCCCATGATCACGCCTGATCCTGTCAGTGGAAGGGACATGCATTTAATGCCCATGTCCCATACACGAGTGGATTTCTCTCTCCTCATTTAATGTGGAATGCTCATTTTTGATCTGATATCTCCCTTATCAGATGAATACCACGGTTATATTTCCTTATATACACAAATTGTCAGATTTGACCCACAGACTAATCTGAGTCTACCCATACCCTTTTCAAATTCAAATTGCGGGTTACCCATTAACCCGACCCTAAGAAATCTGGTAACTCCTATTTAAGTCTGCATTCTCATACTCATAAACCCTTCCTTCCACTTCAACCTTTATCAAAATCTCCCACTCTTCACCAAAAACCTCCTTAAGCA